TGAGGAATACAGTGATGAATTTAGAATGATAAAGTTGGGCCTGGTGCATAGCATTCGGCAACAGAAACAATTTCATAACTAGCAGTTATTGGATGTTTGCTATCCACCAATAGCCCGCTGTCAGCCTCATGTCACCACATTTAATCATCTCAATAACCCAATGGTCATTTCATTCACTTTCTTGATGAAGAGATGAGGACAGAGCATCTAAGGAAGGTGTTAAAGTGTGCACAGCAAGGGAGTGGCAACATTAGAACTGAGTGGGAGACCAGTACCGATCATCTTAACCGTAATAAACGGTGACATTCTTGGTGAGGTTATTCAGCTGGAATACAAGAATATTTGTATTTAAATGCTGTGGAACAATTGCTTCGTTCCACATAAACATACACCCAAAATTTTAATAAACATAGAATCAAAAATTTTATGAGTCAGACATTGGTTGGAAAAGAATGACTTCCCATAACCTGGCAATATGAGCAGGCTAGTAAAATAAAACATGAATGGGTTCCCTAGCTGTAATGACCTTCATTTTTCATTTGCTCATAGACAATACATCGACTATATAAGATGAAAGGTTAAAACATACAAAAAGCACACACTGAGACGATCTGGGGAGAGGGTCTGGATTTGAACTCTTAGGACCAGACGGAGATACTGTCATTTGTTAAGCTGGCCCTGGGTTGAAGTGCACCTGTCTTAAACGATTGTGCACTTGGATACTTTCATTTGCCAGTTATGTTTTTGTTGTTATTATTGTTTTTTTTTTAACCAGGGATAGTAAAGTGACCTGGAGATCTGATATGTTGTCTCTCTGCTGCACCTACACACGCTTTCATTTTCTACAGGACAAAACTCATACTGCCTGTCACGTCCTCGTTGACAACCGAGGAGTGTATTTCATTCCAACTGTCACGGAGACACAGTACTGATGTCAGTGTTTCTGTATATTCTCTGGGATGAAACCTCGTTGGCAAGTTCTTATTCTTCTGCAGAATCTGAGTGGCAAAAAAAAAAAAAAAAACCTCAAATGTAAAAACAAACAAACAAAAACCTGCAATGCTACTGCCATTTTTTCAGGGAACAAAAGTGAAAGAGGAGCTTTGGAGAGATTAAACTGCTCTAGAGTACTCCCAAGACAGCCAGCTGTATCGGCTACCATCAGCCTCAATGCCAGGCACGTAAGATGACCTAGAATGTCTTCTTACACTGGATCTTCTCTATACACATGCACCTTGCTTTCCCCCGCCTTTTGTTCCCACAGATCTTTCGCCCAATCCTTGTGTGTCCTTCGGATCAGAGACTTGTGAAGTCCCCAGCCAAGAAACTCCACTGGATACTTGTTTCTCTGAAAGCAAACACATTCACTGTGATGATGGGGTTACATGGTGTGCCAGGCAAGCCCCATGGGGTTTGGGAACTGGCCCTGGCTGTAGGCACCCTTTATATCCCCTAGAGTTTAGGACAGTGCTGGAAACAGGGCAGATCTTCAAGAAATATTTTTGAAGATTCTGACCATCCATTTCCTGAGCCAGCACTGACACATCTACAAAATGCAGCCTAAAGATCTTCCCCATCCATATTATTTATGCAGTGACACTTCTTAGCTCGGCCTTTACAGTTGCATCGGCCGTGACCTGAGGTAGGTTGATAGCCTATAGGCTCCCGGGTTTGCAGTGAGATCCTGGGCACAGGGAAGTATTTACCAGCTTCCCCCACCCATCAGAAGATCTCTCTGATGATTGTGCAGCTAGCAATCATCTGGTTTGCAAAGGCAGCAGGCTCCGTGCCGTCTGAATTGGCCATCCAGTCCGTGCTTGTGCCGACAGTTCAGAGAGATTCTAACACGACGACCGTGCCTCCCCTCCACCAGCAGTTAGAGGTGGGATGAAGATGACATCATAGAAGAAGGCGCGTGTGAAGGGTTCCAAACACGTCCCTTTGCACATCAAAATGCGTGTGGTAAATTATTTGACATGTCTCCTGCGTAGCTGTCATCCCGACACCACACTGTGAATGGCAGCTGCAAGACTGGAAGAAAAGTCCAGAACCACTCTGACAGGGCATTCCTTAGGACCTGCCAGCTGTCTCCTTCACCCAGTGGCCCATAGGCCCCCTCACCGCCACCCCAGGAGCAAGCCTGAGGCAGAGAAGCCTCCCTGCTTCTCTCTTTTTCTCCTATAGTTTTCCTCCTTTGGACAAAGCAAATTAGAGACCGGCAGCAAGTTACTCCTCTTGATTTGATATGTTTTGGAGTGTCTCGTTTACATGGGCAATTTGTCAACTTTTTTTTTTTTAAGTCATTTTGTTTGCTGTATTTTTATCTAAACCCTAAAAGTTTAAATGCTTCAAAGTAGGGACCCTGGTTTCACCTTAGTATTCCACTCCCACATCTCTGGCCTCTTCCTTGCCTCAGCCCAGACTCACACCCCTGCCTTCCTCTGAACCCTCCTTGCCTCCAGGAAGGATACTGTGGGGTTGGGTTCTCTTAAGATAGCAGCATTAATAAGCTGGGTTTGTGCCAGCCTGGTCATTGCGTCCATCACGCACGTCTACAGAGTCCCTACATTTAAATTCTCCTTCTATCTATGGGGGTCCATCTGTAACAGCCCCCTCTCTCTTGCCTTTAGCCTCCTTGACTTCAGCTTTGCTTTCCGCTGAAATGCCAAAGAAAGATGGAATTGATGAAGACGGCGAATTCTCCCCTAATGGGGTGAGCCAGGCTTTCAACACTCAACTGTGGACCTAGGACCTTCCGACAGCGACAGCGTTGTGAGCTCCCCACACAGTGACCAGTGCAAAGAGCCTTGGATTCTGAAGACCCGGAGGAGGTAGCAGGTTTGAAAGGGACCAATCACCAGCTGTGAGACTTTAGGCAAGTGCTCAAGGTTTTCTAAACTCATCTGTCTACGCGGTGGCTGCTTTGAAATATGTGCTCTTGATTTTTTGTTCTATTATCTAAGCTGCCCATATTTAAGGGTTTGTAATTAAAGGGACACTCTTTAAAAGGGGCTGGGAGGAGAGGAAGAGAGGAGAAAGAAGAAAGGAAGGGCAAGGCTATTAGAGGCCATCACAGACACATTCATTCCCTACGGATGTTCTGGAAGGGCTGAGAGAGTGACTGGCTCGGGCACCCTCCGGAACCTGGCCTGCCAGGTCTTGGGCATCTAGCTTTTACTAGCTCTTGCCCCCTCCCCCATGCTGTTGCTCTCCAACAGCTGGATCCAGCGAAGCTCTTAAGGGAGGTGAGAGTTCTTGGAAGGCTCGGCTTCCATAGCGGTGCCCCGCTCCCACGCTCCCCCTTTCTAGACTCCTCGATGGTGCGAACCCCCTGTTTCACCACCACTGACCTCCTGCGCAAAGGCTGGTAGCGGCAATCCGCCAGCATCCCGCGCTCCAGCTCTACCCTTGTTGGGCGTCCTGCCCTCGGCTGGCTGCCTTCTCCCCGCTCGCTCTGCCGCCCGGGAGCTCCCCCTCCGGGCGGAGCACAGCGGCAGCCTGCGGGGTTGGCGACAGAGCTGGTAAGAGGGGCGGCTGCTGCAATCCTCCCGCCCACGTGCACCGACGGCAGCGAAGCACCAGCAGTCGCCAGGCCCGCGCCGGCCGCGGGTGGGTGCTTCACCTCTGGGGCTGGTGGGGGACCGTAACCCGAGTCCCACCGCCGGGACCTCTATTTGCATAACCCGACCCCCCTTTCTTCCCGGACCAGGCTGGAGATGAGAGTCGGGCTCCCTTCCGAGGCGTCGTCTTGCCTGTGGTCAGCGCGGGGGCCGCGGGACCGGCAGGAGAGCAGGCGGAGCGGGCTGGCGCACGTGGTAAGAACGCTGCTTTCTATTTCTTCCTTTTCCCCCAGCTTCGGAACAAGGCTTTGCAGGGGTTTTGCAGAGGGTGGGACACCTATAGAAGTTCCACCCTCGGTGAGCTTTCCCTTTGAATTTGATTCCCAATCGGAAAGAAGAGCGCGCATAGCGCGATCGAGAAACTTTCCCATATTCGCTTTTGGGCATTTGAAGTCAGGGCGATGGCTATTCCCGGGAGAACAACTTTCGCGGTTGGCATGGGGAGAAAAGAGCTGCTCGGAGAGCGGCACCAAGAGGGCTCCTGGTGGTCATGGGGCTCCCCTGATCACCATACTCTAGGCCGGGCAGGAGCGAGCGCGCTGTGGCCGTGGACACCGCAGGTGATCGGCGGGAGAGCGCCTGCAGCGCCGCTCTCCATCCACGGCGTGGCGCCGTGGCTCCTGCCCGCCCGGGTATCCTCGCTGCTCCGGGTAGGGGGCAAGAAAGAGAACCGCGGGGCTCGCTCCCAATCCCTCCCTTGCCCAACTTTGGAGCTGAGAAGGCCAGGGCGCTTAGATCCTAACCCGCATCCAAGATCCCAGGCTAGGCAGGTCGCGAAGCCCGGGGTTTGGCCGGGCAGCGGGAGCGCTTCTGGAGCGGGCTGCTTCGGAGGTGGGAGCCGAGTGCCCAGAGAGCCCTCTGAAAAGTTTTTGGGAATTTGACAGTAAGGTTTCTACTGGAAGGGTTTGCTTATTGTTTATTTGTTTGTTTGCCAAGGGGAACATGTGTTGGGTCACCGTGACTCGAACCTGTGCCATTTGTTGTCTCTCAGCACCGAGCAGGTTCCAAGCAAAGGAGATGAATACTATTCCTGGGGTAGACCTTAGGCGCGAGTAGTAGGGTGCACCCCCGGAAAAGTGTATACACAGGGATCAGGGGTCTTGGTGGCTGCGGACTGGGAGGGCTTGTGAAGCTGAGGACAGTGTCTTGGCAGGCTGCCTTGTCTGATGCCTGGAGACCCTCTTGGCTAGGCAGGCACGCAAGCGCGCTGTCAAGAGGGAGGCGTGTGGTGTGTAGCGTAAGGTGTGTGAGTGGGTGTGTAACAGGGCAGCGGAGGAGGGGGAGTGTAGCGGAAGTGGAGGGTGTGTGTGTGTGTGTGTGTGTGTGCACGCGCGTCGGGCAGGGTGAGTGTCCAAGCCTTCTTCTGGTCGCCCCCACGCAACGGACCGCCCAGACACGCCGGGAAGGGCGCCCGCACTGTGCAGCAGCTGGAGGGGGGGGCGGGGAGCGCGCGGGCAGAGGAAGGGGGTGCCTCCGGCAGAGGATCTCTCGAAGCTCCCGCAGCTCTTCGGCCCCATACTCTACTCTAACCTCTACCCTTAAGGTGCCTAAAATACTTAAACAAATAAACAACCCAGACCTGTTCCGTTTTCGCTCCTGTATAAATAGCACAGACTTTCCAAAAAAGCAAGACCGCATTCACTCTTATCGCCAGACACTACTTTCCACAGTGTAATTCAGAAAAAGGCAGTCAGCTTCCGTGAATGCGGCTAGCTTTTTTTTTTTCTTTTTCTTTCTTCTTCTTCTTCTTTTTTTTTTCTCTGTCTCTTTTTTGCTTGCGGTTTTGGGCTGCCAAGAAAGTGAAGGAGGGGTTTGACTGTAGTGTCTCGGCTCCGCTCGGTTTCTTTCCGAAGTTTAATTTTCCGGAATGGCTCCCAAACAAGGGCCGGGGAGGCGGAGCCGCCACTACCGGATCTTCTCCTTTTTTGGAAAGTCTCGGCGAACCGGAATTCCTCCCCGCCCCAAGAGACAGAGCTGCCATCTCGGCCCGCGCGTTCTCCCGCGGCGACAGCGCCGGGGTCGGCGATCAAGCCCTCCCCCAGCTGAACTCTGCAACCCGGAGACCAAGCTGCAATGGGGGCCGAGAGCCCCAAACCCTGGCGGGTGTCCACCGGCGGCGAACCGTTCCAGGGGGAGCTCGGCGGAGCCCGCGCTGCCAAGCCCGTATGCAAATTAGCCATGTGACCGCAAAAGCTGCCTGGCCCAGCCCTGTTCCTCAGTCCATATATGGGCAGCGACGTCACGGGTATTGAAAACCTGCCCATAAATACTCGGAGCCTAACACTTTCCGTCTGAGAGAGCAGCGATTGATAAATAGCTGGGCGAGGGGGACACACTGACTGTTATAATAACACTACACCAGCAACTCCTGGCTCCCCAACAGCCGGATCACAGGCAGGAGAGAGTCAGTGGCCCATAGCTATTTTTCTTCTTAAGAAGCCAACAACTTGCTTGCTAGTTTTAAATTGGTTAGATTTTTCTTTCTTTTCTTTTCTTTCTTTCTTTTTTTTTTTTTTTTTGCGTGTGGTGGTGGTCTTTTCTAAGTGTGGAGGGCAAAAGGAGATACCAACCCAGGCTCAGTCCAACCCCTCTCCAAAAACGGCTTCTCTGGCACTCCAGGTAGCGAGGGAGTTGGGTCTCCAGGTTGTGCGAGGAGCAAATGATGACCGCCAAGGCCGTAGACAAAATCCCAGTAACTCTCAGTGGTTTTATGCACCAGCTGCCTGACAGCCTCTACCCGGTGGAAGACCTCGCCGCCTCGTCGGTGACCATCTTCCCCAATGCTGAACTGGGAGCCCCCTTTGACCAGATGAACGGAGTGGCCGGAGGTAAGCCGCGTGTCCTCTTTGGAGCTGGTGGGTGGGGAGCGGTGGGTGTTCGGGACTTGGCAGGGAGAATGGGGACTTGAGGTGGTGGAGGGCGCTGACCACACTGACTCTGAAGACTGGAAGTGAGTGCGGGAGGAGCAGGGGAGAACAGGGACTAGAGCACTGGGACGTGCGCGCCGAGAGATGCACCTGGTCACCAAAAGCAACTGGCATGCTTGCGGCCCTCTGCGCGCCCAAATGGGCGCAGGGCTCAAGACACACCCATACTGGGCTGCCAGGCTGGAAGCAAGTCCACTGGCCGGACTCTGGGCTTCTGGGATAGGGTTAAAGTGATGGGAAAGTTGGGGAGTCCGGGGGAGAGCTGTGCGTCTGGAGAGCCAAGTGGCAGGGGAGCGCCGAGGAAGCGCGCAGTTGTAGCGCTCTCTGGGCAGAGCCCCCTCCGGGAGGGTCTTGGAGCTCTTTTCTCTTCTGGTGCGGCTGAGAGGCACCACCCAACTTGCCCATCGCCCCAAAGTGAAGGGGGATAGCGGAGCAGGGCAAACAGTGGGAAGTGGCCCTGAGACTGCCGAGGGAGGCCAGCGCAGGCATCAGTGTGCGCCAGGCTCGGTGGCGATGCTGTGTAAAGTCGTCCCCCGCAGCCCCCGTGCCTTCCTCCAAGCCCAGTCTCTAGTCTTGGGCTGGGGCGGGGACGCGCGGGTGTCGGGCAAGGCTGAGGGGAGGGAAGGGAAACCTAGACTCCTTCCTCCGCAGCCTGGGTTCCCACTGGCAGTCGTCAGCTGAAGCGCAGCGGGAGAGGGAGGGGGAGATGGCACCAGGAATTAGCAGCGGGAACATCACCCACCCACTTACCCGTTCTGGGGTTCCCCTCTCCCTCGGCTGGCACTTTCTCAGTATCGCCTGGGATTGGTCGGATCTTGAGTGGTGTCTGTACCGTTGCCTCGGCGGTGGAACCACAAGGCAAAGCACTGGGAAAGGAGTCCGAGGCAGATGGGAAATTGTTTGATATTGTTGCTATTATTGGGTGTTTTTATTGGGGACTATAGTCACAGATGGCTGGGGGACAGAGGGGGAGGGGCACGTCCTACTTTCTTGGAGATAGTTTTTGAGTCTCGGGCGCTAGCTAACTTCTTACTGTCTCCAAGCCTCAGTTTCCCCACCTGTTGGATTTTGTTCCATCCCTATATATACTGTTGGAATCCTGAAACGAGGACGGCCGTGTGCGTGCATGTTGTGTGTGTGTGCGCGCGGGCGCGTGTGTGAATTGGCACTTGGCTGCGTTTTCATTGTTCCACCTCTTTCCTGCCTTTTCCTTCCCCAGATGGCATGATCAACATTGACATGACTGGAGAGAAGAGGCCCTTGGATCTTCCATATCCTAGTAGCTTTGCTCCCATCTCTGCGCCTAGAAACCAGACCTTCACTTACATGGGCAAATTCTCCATTGACCCCCAGTACCCTGGTGCCAGTTGCTACCCAGAAGGCATCATCAATATTGTGAGTGCGGGCATCTTGCAAGGGGTCACCCCTCCAGCTTCAACCACAACCTCATCCAGCGTCACCTCTGCCTCCCCCAACCCATTGGCCACAGGACCCCTGGGCGTGTGTACCATGTCCCAGACCCAACCTGAATTGGATCATCTCTACTCTCCTCCACCACCTCCTCCTCCGTATACGGGCTGTACAGGAGATCTCTACCAGGACCCTTCGGCGTTCTTGTCACCGCCCACCACTTCCACCTCCTCTCTGGCCTACCAGCCACCTCCTTCCTACCCATCCCCCAAGCCAGCCATGGACCCAGGTCTCATTCCTATGATCCCGGAGTATCCTGGCTTTTTTCCGTCTCCGTGCCAGAGAGATCCACACGGTGCTGCTGGCCCGGATCGAAAGCCATTTCCCTGCCCTCTGGATTCCCTACGGGTCCCGCCTCCGCTCACTCCACTCTCTACCATCCGTAATTTTACTCTGGGGGGCCCCAGTGCTGGAGTCACGGGACCAGGGGCAAGTGGAGGCAATGAGGGACCCCGACTGCCCGGCAGTGGCTCTGCAGCAGTGTCTACTACTCCCTTTAACCCGCATCACCTGCCATTGCGGCCCATTCTGCGGCCTCGAAAGTACCCGAACAGGCCCAGCAAGACGCCAGTTCACGAAAGGCCCTATCCCTGTCCAGCAGAAGGCTGTGACAGGCGCTTCTCACGCTCGGATGAGCTGACCCGGCATATCCGAATCCACACGGGCCACAAACCCTTCCAGTGTCGGATCTGCATGCGAAACTTCAGCAGAAGTGACCACCTCACCACTCACATCCGCACCCACACCGGGGAGAAGCCGTTCGCCTGTGACTATTGTGGCCGCAAGTTTGCCAGGAGTGACGAAAGGAAGCGCCACACCAAGATCCACCTTCGACAGAAGGAGCGGAAGAGCAGTGCCCCCTCCTCGTCTGTGTCTGCCCAGCCTTCAGCCTCTGGTCCTGGGGGCTCGCAGGCGGGAGGCAGCCTATGCGGTAACAGCACCATTGGAGGACCACTGGCCTGCACCTCTCGGACCAGGACACCGTGAGATGAAGCTCCGGCGGACACACCCAGGTCCCAGAGTTCCACCGTCCACTTGAGCTGCACAACACTATCACCCATCCCTGTTCCTTCCTGTGATCCTGTGCAAAGGACCTTGATGGAGCCCGGCCTTGCCCCCACCCCGTTCCAGAACAGGGCCCTCCTGAAATTTAGGCCATTTGACTCTCTTAGGGGAGTTGACTGCCACTCCAAGCAATGGGGAGCCAAGAAGAGGGCTGGGTGAGGGCCCTTGGACTAGAGGGCTGTGGTCTGATTCTGACTGAGAGACATCTCATTAGGTTTTGCTAGTCCTTCCCTTATTTTGACCCTGGATGCCAGAGTTGTTCTGAGACCTTTTCTACAATCGGTTGGGAGATGCTGATTCCTTTGAGTGAGGACAGCAAAAAAGACTAAGGAAAACTGACATTGCACTTTATGGCTTGGAACTAATTTGGGGGAAGCTGTCCAGTGAGAGGAGCCTGGTTTTGGCTGCGGCACTCCGTGGCCCCGGAACAGTGAACTGAAGGGTATCTAGCCATCTCAACTCTTAAGCAATATGTACTAAAAACTCAGAGAACGGAAGTGCAATGACGGGAGGGACAAAGCAATATTGGCTCCTTTTTGTTGAGAAACAAAGGTTATTTTTTCAGTGTATATCCATTCAGATTTTGTGTATTTTTGATGTGCACTGTTCATTCCGAGTTCTGAACCTTCGGGAAAAAAAATTGTAAAGCATTTATGATCTCTTGAAATGAGTCAAAGGTTAACTTATTTAAAGGGGGATGTACATAGGGTGCATGCAGTTGTGTCGGAAGTGTCCTCTGAGCCTTGTGTGATGTGGGCAGTGTTACAGGGTCTGCATGTATGCAGGAGGCCTTACTATAGAAAAAAAGAAATCATTCCCTGGGTTGAAGTATGGCTGTATATTTCTGCCTATTAATATTTGGAATTTTTTTAGAAAGTATATTTTTGTATGCTCTGTTTTGTGACTTAAAAAGTGTTACCTTTGTAGTCAAATTTCAGATGAGAATGTGCATAATGTCACGCAGCTGATTTGTTTACTAGCTCTTAATAGTTGTGGAAAAAAATAATCTATTCTAACATACAACCACTAACTGGAGTTCAGATACTGGATGGTTTATGACTATGGTGTAAATAAATACTTTTCAACAATATTTTCTGCTGCAGAAGTCATTTACAAGGTACCTCCTGGGTGGAATTGAAACAGCTCTTCTCGTCTGTGAACTGTGGCCATAAGACCACTCTGGGGCGGGGGGGGGGGGGGCTAGCATAGGACCTCCATGCTGCCTTGCTAGCCTGTGGACACCAAGTCTCACTCTAGTCTGCATTTGCAAGCCAGAGCTGGTTTTCAGGGATTTCCCCCTTGAATCAGTGTAAAAGCCTCCTGACTCATTGTTCCGTCCCCTGTAACAGCCTATAGCTTCTCTCTGCTCCTGAGTGGGCTCCGGAAAGTAAACACTTACAAACAAGTGCCCACTTGGAGATGACAACCACAGAGCTGCATTCAGAACTCTGACCACGGACGGCCTGGGGCTCAGTGGAGCTGTGGCTTTGAGGAAAGTGTGGCGGCATGGTCAAATTGGAAATGACTTTTGGGTTTCCAGGATTAATCTTATGACCACAGAAAACTTTTTCAGAGAGCTATCATTCTTTCAGATCAAAATTGCTCAGACATTGCTGATGACAACATTAATGGGTGGTGGCAGGAATTACCCCAGGACTCATTTCTCTCTAGTCCTGGCTTCTCAGATGACTGGCCATATTTGGAAGGATCATTTGTCACAAGTTTGGTGGATCCAGAAGTGATTCTCAAAATAGCTTGCTAGGTAAGATGGGTGAACACCAACCTACAAAACTCCAATGCAATCTAAATAAGTAGCCTCCCCCCAACATACCAGATAATGGTTTGCAAAGTAATACAGTGTAAGGTTTCTTCTGGGAACCTTTTGTGATTTTGTTATAAATACAAAACAAGAATCGTACGAAGCGAATAGATTGTGTCTGTTATTAGCATCTTTACCCTGAGAATTAGCACCTAGTGTCCGATAACCAGCTCAATCTCATCAGGAAAGCTTGCCCTTGCTTCTGTTTTACCTTTATCCCCACTTTCAGGATACAGAAACTTCTTCCCAGAACTCCCAAGTAGAAATTTCTAAACCTGAGGGTGGGATGTTTTCCTTGTCTTTTAATTTACCACTGATTTCAGCTTGCCAACTGTCAAGAGTATTGCCACTGTTTATCCACTGTGGCAACTATAAAGCAATGTTACGTTATGGCTACTTTTAAACAAATACTTCTCTTCCCAGGAACTTTATTTAAGGATGTAGTACACTTACATTTTTTAGTTTATAACTATTTTTCCAAACTTTAATTTTACAGCATCTCCAATCAAGACCACCTAAGTCATGTTTTTAAGAGCAAGGGTGAACGACACTTAAAACAAAAAGAACTCCCCGTGCTACACACATGGATTATGTGATCAGTTTCACATTGGTGTGGCGGCAAACCTCACCAACAAGCCCTAAGAAATGAGCACACCTGTTTGCTCAGGGCCAGCCTCGTGGCTTTGACCCCCAGAGTATCACACAGCACGTCAGCTAGCGTCTTTAACCAGGGTTCTCAGCTTAAAAGTTTTCAGCTCAATTTTCAATGCATTTTAAAAAGTTTGTCCAAGAAATCAGCACAGAAATACAAGTTTGGTTCCTTTAATCTCTTGCCCCTGTACTTTAAGGGATAATACTATAAATGTTTCAGCTTGTTTTGTGGAGAGGGATTCCTTAGAGTCATGCCGCTGTGATGGTTTGTATGAACTGTTGATTAAGCCTAACGTTCTCAAGCCAGGTTATTTAATTTCCATATGCTAAGCGTTAATGTGATCAAGGTAAATTATTTTGTAAACGTTTCTCAACTGTTGTAAAACTTCAGGGTCTATGTGGACGCAGGTAGGTGCAGACGCCTGAAACGCTGCCAGTTCAAACCACCATCAAATTAGTAAGAAAAGACAAGACCAAGAGATGAAAATACTTAAGGATATTTTTTCATTTAGGATAAAAGTTAACTGTTATTTTCTTTAGGTTAAATACAAGAGTGGCCTGTGTTACAGCAAAATAGTGTAATTAGACATTAAGTATTCTCAGATGTGTTTTTAATCATCGTGTTCCACAGACCTCTCTCAGGAAAATAAAGTAATTTTAAATTTATACCACTTCTTGGTCTTTGGAAATCTGTAGGTAACTGGCTTTTGGCACGATATGTTATGAAATAAACTGTGAGCGTTAACAATAATTAAAATATAGTTATTGTAGGTAATGTTTCCCTTTTCCACTTTGTAATAACCAACATTATTTCCACATAATTTTTGACATGCCTTTATTTCCCATAAGTACACAGATTTTACTCAGAAACGTAAACACCCCTGCATTTAAAGCTTGGGTATCATTAACAAATTATCTTTCTTTGACAGCAGAAACCTCAGTGCAACAGACCAATGCACATTTGGAACATCTGGATTCTGAATTCAGGACTGCAGGTCTAGGAGTAAATGCTGTCAAGATAGCTGAACACCGGCAGAGGTCTGAAGTGGGATGCATTGCTTCTCTGCTGGGCGGGAGAGCTACGACAGAGGACTTATTTGCAGTTGGAGTGGACAGAGTCCTCCCCAGATAGCAAAATCGAGGAACCTACGAGACAAGGCAAAGGGGGAATGAAAGGTGTACATGTTGATAGTGAGACTCTAGCCAAGTTAAAAAGTCAGAGAACTCACTCCTGTTGATAAAACACATTACTTCAAAGGCAGGCTTTTTCATTTAATCAGCAGCATTTGGTATTAAACCCATCAGTTCTCAAAAGAGTAGGAAGGTACAATCTTACATCAATCAATATAACTGATCACTGATATAACTACGATATTTAAGTTTCAGAGTATTTAGACAGACAGACAGTTTCCCATCCATGAGCTGCAGTTATTGCATTTATTATTCATCAGAAAAGTTAACTGGCTAACATCACTGTGCTCACTGGTGTTACCGAAGGGAAGAAGGTAACTTCTATCCCCGGGTCTAGACCACCATCTCTGGTGTAGACCTGTATGAAAACACAATGGCAGCAGTCACAGCTAATAGTTTATGCATAGAAGTGCACATGCCGTCTTAGGAATGTGCAGATTCTTTCCATGGTGGCTCATGAAAACACATTACACTGTTTTCATCGAAGTTTACTCAATGTGTTAGGGAAACAAGTTTCACTGTTCTTATTGAACGGATGAGGAACACAGTATTGCTGTTTTAGCCCACAACAATTTCAGTTATTCTTTTGAAAAGCACCTTAGGTTTTTTTCTTTCCAAATTGCTTATAATAAACCTTGAACACCCCCCCCTCCGTTTTTGCAATAAAGGCCTTCATAATACTTTTTATTATTAGCCTAGTTCCAGGCTAGGTTTCTACAGGCTAGTTTAAAGTACCTCCAAGTATGCTGTAACAAACACATGACTTTCAATGATTTTTGTAAAAGAATCAACTTTTGCTACAATTCAAAAACTGTATGTGGCCGAAAACTACACTCACTGCTGGTCTCAAAAAAAAAAAAAAATACTGTCAAGTTTAAAACCATCACTTGCTATCTAGATTTTCAAATGAGCGGCTCAAAGAGCTGCTTCACTGGGATCCAAAGCCATTTTAAGCATTACAATGGGAAGCAACTTGAACTCCAGCAGCCCTGGTGGAAGTACTTGGTGCTGGATCTGTGTCAGAGTTCCAACAGGTTTTCTCTGGCCTGTTGCTTTCATTTTAATTATACAAAACAAAAAACCCACAAGCCACACCATCAATAATTTGCTTTTTCGGACCACTTTAATGACTGGGAACAAGCACCCTGTAAGCCTGGGTCTGTGTAACCTAGATACACGGAGTCAAAAGCAGCTTCCCTACCAGGTCAACGAACACTAGCTACCCTTGATAGTAAGTCTCCATTTATTACAGATATTAGAATTCTATTGCCACATGAGCAATCAAGACAGCTGGACACGTTTTATTTCTACAGTTTGTCTTTATGAAAAGGACTGTGATAAAAAGGAACCCTATAAATAGTAAGAAGGGAGAACCGGTGCTCCATGGCCAAATGTTAGGGTACCAACACGTTTGTAAACAAGGTAAAGGTATCCAGCCGGTGCTAATGCTGCAGACAGCTGCTAGTGTTTGCTCCAAGAGTTGGTACACACAGGTCTAATCTCCACTCTTGGTGCCCTAAAATGGCTAAATTCTCAACTGTCTATCCCATGTACCCATTATATAGCTCTGTATATATATACACACACACAAACAAACATATACACACTTATGTTAGTGTCTCAGGTATTCAAGGATCCTCTCAAATTCACTATGTAGCCAAGCCTGACCTTTAAATTCTGATCCTCCTGCCTCCACTTCCTAATTGTTGGAGTTACAGGTGTGTGCCATACTGGATTATGTACTGCTGAGGACTGAGGCGAGGGCTTCTTGCCTGCTTGGCAGGCAGCCTACATCCAGAGCCACTCCCAGGGTATTGCAGGCCTTCTACCTCTTCCTTTAGGAAGGGACTTCAGTAGGCCAGAGTGGCTCTTGTTTAAGGGAGGGCTAGGATATGACCTGCAGCAACACAGCTGGAACTACAGCCCTCTGCAGGGTTCCTGGGAGAATACAAAAAATGGTCAGAGTATCTGGCCCCACTTTTACAGGAAGATCCTGGAAGTAAATTGTATGGATTTCAACAGGTGGCAACGGGTTTTACATTCAGTTATTTGGAAGCAGAACAGATTCAGCTCCTGACTCTACTGTATCGTCTTTGAAGAACACTAAGAAAAAAAAGTCACTTGAGGATAATACAGTCTTTGCTTTAAAGGTGAATCCCTAACAACAGAACTGTTTTCATGACAGATCTGGAGACTCAAGGGGAAGGTGACCTCAGGGAATCCACACATGTGAATCTTACTAAAGGCTACCTGAGAACTCCAAATGTGGCTACTAGGCCAGGGGAGGACAGAACTCTTCCTCCAAGAGAGTGAACCCCAGTGCTGGAAAGATGTCTTTTCCCATCTACTCACTTTAGAAACTCGGTTTTGTATTTTTGCTTGTTTTTGTTTTGTTAAAACCGAACCAATGGCTTTAACTAAAA